TTGTATATGATATTGTTTTGTAAGTATATGTTTTTTTTCCAAACGAGGGGACGCCCAAAAGTGATTGGTGTCCTTGGTGGGGTGGTTTTAACAGAACGTAAGGAGGGGCACCTTAATTTTGAGGCATTCCCTCCTTTGTTGGCAAGTGTTGAGGGAAACGCTGGCTGTTGTGGTTCCACACGTTAACAAGGGGCTGCGCGCGAAAACCGCCAACAAAAAGGGTCAGCGACGGACAGTGGTAGTCTATGGTCTTTTGGGTAGGAAGAACATGGGCGGGCTGGACTAAGTCCATGCAATGATTTACTAAATTCATTTTGCAAGTTGTTTGTGATCGTAAGTCGAAACTAGGCCAAGGCCTCCTGCTTGATTCGTCTGAAAGCATGCCAACATGAAACTGAAACGCCCTTTGGTGGAGGGGTGCTAATTCAAACATACGTTAGAGTTAACGACCCTAGCTCAAACGCTGTTTGCAAAACGTAGTTTCTTGGGCTCAACTTACCTTCCTTGTTTGCCAACGTGCGGATTGCTCGAGCCTGACGGCCTGTAAACGTAAATTTGTCTTTTAACTGAGTGTAGCTGCCCGTAGCTGAACGTTGCTTTTGGTAAGCTAAACCCTTCGGAATTTACAAATAGCTTGGCGGCCGGAGACCCGCCCACCCATTGTGCCAAGTATTGCAAATGGTTCGGCCAGACTTTTCATTTTAGGGCTCAGGCTTGGCCAGACTTCCGCGAGTGGCATGACACTCAGTTTTTGTGAGACGACTCAACAGAAAGAGCATAGGTGTCAGTCTGATATAGGTCAGTTTGGTTGAACAGCAACGGGACAGGCTTAGGGTTTAGGGTGTCCGGCTGCCAGTGCACAGTGGAGATTGTCGTGAGCCTAAACCAGTAGAGCTGGCAAGGCTGGTTGGCAGAAGTTCTAAACATATCTCTCTGTCCCTTGTCTCTCTATCTCTGTCTTTTTCCGTCTGCCCGTATATCCGTTCTATCTATCTATCTACCTATCTATCTATCTATCTATCTATCTATTTACTTGTTTTTGTTTGTTTATCTGTCTGTCTATGGGTCTATGCATGTAGCTATCTATCCATCTAGCCAGCAATGTATGGATCCATCTATCCAGCCATTTACCTATCTACCTACCTACCTACCTACCCCCTACCCACCTACCTACCTCTGGGTAGGTTTCTATCCATGATCTATATATTTGTCTTGCTATTGTCTACCAAGCTAGCTAGCTATCCTTCTGTTTGTCTAGCTATTTGCTTCCACAGAATTAGGTTCCCCTTGTATTTTTGCCTTTTGTGTAGATAGTTTGATATCTTTTCTATATACCTATCCGTCTATCTATACTTTCAATGTATCCGTCTATCTTCATGTATAGTTTCTTTAGCCTTCTATCTGTCTATGAATCTGTCTATCTTTCTATCCGTCTAATCTCATTATTTAGCAATCGGCCTTTCTAGCTTGCTATCTAGCTATTTGCCTATCTATCTATCTATCTATCTATCTGTCTGTCTGTCTATCTATATCTATATCTATATCTATATCTATATCTATATCTATATCTATATCTATATCTATATCTATCCATCTTTCTATCTATCTGTCTACCTATATCTATCTATGCATCTATCTATTTATCTATCTATATCTATCTATGTATCTATCTATCTAGATCTTTCTATCTATATCTATCTATCTGTCTATCCATCTATCTATATATGTATCTATCTGTCTATCTATCTATCTAATTGATCGATCTATCTATCTATCTATCTATCTATCTATCTATCTATCTATCTATCTATCTATCTATCTAATCTATTTATCTGTCTATCTATCTATCTAATCTATCTAATCTATCTATCTATCTATCGATCAATCTATCCATGTATCTGTCTATCGATCTATTTATTTATCTATCTATGTATCCATCTATCTATTAATCTATCTATCCATGTATCTGTCTATGTCTATCTGTCTATCTGTCTTTCTTTCTATTTATTCATCTATCTATCTATCTATCTATCTATCCATCGATGTATCTATCTATGTATCCATCTGTCTATCTATCCATTTATCTATATCTATCTATCTTTCCTTCTTTCTTTCTTTCTTTCTTTCTACTTAGTTATCTACAGTATCTATCTATCTATCTATCTATCTATCTATCTATCTGTCTATCTGTCTATCTATCTATCTATCTATCTAATCTATCTATTTATCTAGTTATCCTATCTAATCTAATCTAATCTAATCTAATCTAATCTAATTCTAATCTAATCTATCTACTTATCTATCTATCTATCTATCTATCTATCTATCGATCTATCTATCTATCTATCTATCTATCTATCTATCTATCCATCTAATCTATCTAATCTATCTAATCTATGTAATCTATCTAATCTTTCTAATCTATCTAATCTATCTAATCTATTTAATCTATCTAATCTATCTAATCTATCTAATCTATCTAATCTATCTAATCTATCTA